AATGCACTGAACATCATTACTCTTCTAACAAAAATATTAGAAACATTTTCAGCAAGCTTTTGAAATATCCTTCGTATCATTATTGGAGATGGATGAAAAGAGACTGACAACCTTACCTGTCCGACAATAGGCTTTCCACACGATGCACAATCTCCCTTTGGAATTGTGCTAATTCCATGCTTGGACATATCGTTTTGAAGCGTACCCAGCATTGAGTCTAGCTGTGATGGACCGCGAGACGGAGATTTACGCTTAATTAAACCAAAAAAATTGATCATTTAAGATTTCGAAATGTCCATATCAAACATACATATCACATACATACAAACACAAATATTTACAATCTTGCCCTATATCACACATAACAGGATATAAACCTCAAAAGAAGTGCTGTAAATTAACGTACAAAAACTTGAGAAAACCAGTTTAACCTTAAAAATAACAAATGAGATGCCTGAACCAGGAAACATTATGAAAGGGAAATTTCCGTAAAAAATGCAAGATTTGAAAATATCAATTAGTACGTACAAATTCTTGATCTGTCGCAGTGCCGTTCGTGTATGCCCGTTGTTCCAACGGTGGAGGAGGATTGTTGATTATTCTTCTTGGCCTGTAATCATTTGGGGAATAACGCTGGAAAAACCAAGTTTTATCAATGGAATTTTCTACTATTAGATCGAAAATGATCCATTCATAAAAATACAACTGCTTTTCACACAACACAGCCGATCACTAAACGAAAAGGATAGGAAGCTTCAAGAAAAAAAACCATCCATTCACTTAAATATAAGCATCCATCTTATAAACGAATCAAATTAATTTATTGCTTTAAATTTTCTTTTTTTTNTTTTTTTTCGACATTTGCTATAGATCAGCTTTAACGCAAAAAGATAATTTGAAAAAGGATCTGTTCAAGATGAAAGCAATCATATGTGGATGGATGGAAAGGTAAAAGAAGAGAACTAGCGAAAGAAGACAGAACTGCAGAACGTGAGCTTGAAGTGACTGACGGATGCGTTGGAGTAAAATAATACTCAGCTTGTCGAGTGTTATGACTGCTAGTCTCGAAATCACATCAAATACGTTTTGTTATTGTGTGTTCAGATGAAAACGAGTTAAAGTCAACGCAGGGCATGGCCGAGTGATGGATAGATGAATGGCATGCAACATTTACTCATCTATCCCAAATGAATGAACACGTCAGCTAATGCTTTTAGCTAATGTCAGCATCGTCTTCTTCTTCTTCAACCGTTGTTCAGCTGTTGAAAAGTAGTTAAAAGTCACTACTAGATTTTGTTTACCATCAGGCTGACACTAGTTGCTCTTTCCCATTCTTACGCGAATGAATTTTTCGTCGTCATTGCACCCGAAATCCACCTCTAGCAGCAGTAACGTTTTAATAATAACCCAACAACTAATACAATCATTACTCAATACAATCGACGAACTTTTCACCAACAACAACATCGCTACCAAATAATCACTTATCGACGATATCAACAAACGAAATCAGCTTCAACTAATTCACTCAACTGTCCTCTATCCCCCTCCATTATCTGTCAGCTGCTCTCTTAACCCTATCCACATTTTACGTAAATAAACAAATCAACAATCCTCATCATTCCTACTTCTAACGCCTAGTTTCATTTCATCTTTCATTAATTGAAATTCAAGGATTCGAACAATTTCACTTGACTCTTTAAATGCACTATTCAACTGTTGAATTTATTCAGTTTCAGATTTTATTTTCATCGCTACTGCAATATAATAGAATTTTATGTGATGTTACATATCTGCTTACAACTTCGTATCCAATCAAATTTTAAGACCTTATTATGCAATCGAAATCTAATTTGAATTTGAATGTTTATACAGGCGAATCTGCAACATTGTTTGCAGTGTGCACGTCTATTTCAACACGTTGCCAATTTTTCGATTAGGTNCGTTTGGATGCTTATTGTTAATATGTCTACAAACGTGGCTGAAGTAGGAAAAATAGATTTTCTAAGCGCGATCGTTGCCGCCTCCAAACGGTAAAAATGGATGCAAGTGAGATAATTTCGGTACAATGAATGAATGCGATCTTTGGGCAGGTGATAGGCAATTTGACCGTAACATAAGCTAAGAGTGTTGTTTGACTAGTAAAGCTGGTTGCAAGATGACTGCTGCAATTTCCCCCTCTAACTGCTGTTATTTTCGATACTCGGTAGCAATTTTCGAAACAGACGGTAGCGAAATTGTACGCAACGCAGTTGATGAACAACTACGGCAATCATACGATCAATTGCATTCGATGATAGGAGATCGAGGTGGAGAATAGACATGAAGATATTCGCTCCATTGAAAAGGTAGCATGCAATACGGATTCATATTTCTGCTCGCAATAGTCAGTATGTAAAAGAGGATTACATCTATATCAATAATGAGAAAATTCATTTAAAAAATCTACACTTACCCATCTTGCTCCAATTCATTGAATAAACTGTGAACTGTTGGTCGTTCAAACGGGCTTGCTGAAAGGAACAATTCATTAAAAATTCTAATTTCAACAATGATAATTTATTCGATCGCACTATCACCATTATTGATGCACTAAAACTCATAAGATTCAAAAGTTGTCAGTCGAATTCATTGAAGCGTTTCCTGAGGCTTGAAAAATTGAGCAGTCCAAAAATAATGAATGGGACTACCTATTTCATATGTTGTAAAACACGTATTCTGTANATGGGAGGATAGGTTTTATATGACTGAAAGTTAGTGAGTAAGTTAATTGCTAATAAACAGTTCTACCTCCAGAATTTCGTCTCCTCTCCGAATAATCGTCCAACATTTGTTCCAAGTTGTCCAAACCATGCTGAGAACTGGTCGTTCTGATATAGAATGTTTTTTTAATTCATGATACAGAATTAGACATCGTTGGAAAAATCGAAAAGTTTCCACAAATTCAAGACGAATGGAACAGACGGGTGTAATTTACGAGAATAATTCCAAAATAATCCCAATTCAGAGGTTATTGTCGAAAAATACCTCAAAATTCGGTCCCTTCCAACCCTGCCCTTAAAATCAATTGAAAGGTACCTAATAGTCTGTTCTTGATAAATCGGATCAATATCATTGGTGTCTGCATAGTGATTACTTTGATTAGCACGTTTCAACACTTCAGTTGTATGTTGTAAATCCGATAGTAAAGCCTCTGAAAAAGAAATAAAATTCAATAAAGATCCAGTTTTCTTGCAAAAAAATGTCATGTGTAATTTGAATCACTGGAACTGACTATGTTCATCACCTGTTTGATCGATTCAAACGTTAAACTCTCAAGAAATCTGCTTACAGTTGTTCCGTTATTCAATGAATGACATCTTTAAGAATGTTCAAAATCTTCGAATTTGACTCGAAGCATCGGCAAAACGCAATTGTAATCATAAAAAAAATAGTCCAGATCAAGTTCTGCTCATGCTTCTATCAAACAATAACACAAACCCAACGCAGGCGTTACTGCTTCGACAAAACCATCGTCATGCCTCGTTGGCATATTATCCTAATAAAACATTGATTTTATTCATGTGCTTGTCACGAACAAAAATTCTCGTCCAACTTTATTTTCACACACACACACACATTGAAAAGAGCTCGAATAGTTATATTGGAACATGAGAAATTGCGATTACTAGGGAATTTGAACCAACAGATTTCATTGAACTCCGCTCTGTAAATTTTTTTCTCAACTTTTGGATACCCAATTTTTCTCCAATTAAAATTGCTTAAAATTTTTCCTGTAAAATTCAGCATCTGGAATCGTTGACTTTTTCGGGCGATTTCCTGCGAGTCTCAGAAGCGTAAACATAGATATGGATGTGACTTGCAAAGCGTGCTATACCCCAACCTAAGATACAATCATGGTATTTCATCAAGACAAGTCAGCTAACAAAAGAACTATATTTTAATAAGTACAAATTCTATACAAATATTTCAACCAATATATTCCGATACGAAAAACCTCATTTTTTCTATCATATGAAGGAATTTGAAAGTTTATGTGTGTGTGTCTACAAGAAGATCTGTTGGGAAACAGCAAAAAATTAGGAAAAAAAGAAGAGATATGTAAAATACAAAATTCTATACGAATATTTAGTTCTTCCTCTCACCAACAGATTGGTAGGCATATGTATTATATTGATGCATTAATATTTATGGAACGTGTTTGTTTTATTTATATGAATCCTTCTTTATAAAACGTGTTTGACTTGACGTAATAATCATAATAATAAGTCACTTCTTTACAACACAAATGTAAGATATTAACAACCACAATAATAATGAATACTTGAGAAATTTTTTGCATTCTTTCGTTACACTAAACGTGAACTATAATCTGCATTTGATTGCAACACTGCACACAAACTTTCAAATTTCAATCAGGCGCTGTCATATTTTCGTTTCTTCTTCTTTATTCCCGTCAAAATTTCATCGAGACATTATTTATTTCATTTCATTGATGATAAACCATGATTAACCTTTCTTTATGTGCGATATTTAAAAATGTTCAGAAGATCATTTCGAAAATTGAAAGTCATCAATGGACGTATAGTTGGTGGCGATAATCAGATTATAGTATCGTAATGGATTGTACCTGGGCTTGAACTTAAGCTCCTGCCGGGGGATTATCAATTTGCTTAACAGATATCGACAGAACCAGTTATTTTCTGGACAGATACCTCAGCCTCAGCATGAGCCTCAGCTTAGGTTTCAACCCAAATATAATTCATCCATGTAGTCCCAAATATTATATTATGCTTTGATTATCATCATTCATATACGCTGCATAATTTAAATATATAGGGAATTCTTCAACATTGGCTAAATGAGACGGAAAACATGAAAAATGAAAACGCATGAGAAGGAAATCAACAAGTGAATGCAACGATGCTAAGTTGCACTTCAGGACGTACTGATGCAGTAGAAATGAAAATGCAGAGCTGAGGTTCAGTGGTCACCAATAATTTTGAACGCACAGCTGAGATTAACGCTTCATTCGCATAATATATGTATACAGCTGTGATGGATATATAGAGAATACACATATGTGGATTAATGGATGTGTGAATGAAGCTGTTGAAGGAGCATCATTCATCAGATATTCAGGCAGCTAACAGTTACAAGTGATCATCAAATCATATCACATCGCAACCGATGCTCTGTCATTCTCGTCTTTCATTACGTCTCATATGTTGTATATGAGATATGATATGATACATCTGTTTAAACAGCAATTATTCAGTCCACTATACTTATCGCTATCAATTTAATGTGTGTGTGCTTCAATTCGCCTTACTGCAGCAATGATAATGTGATTTTATACGTATGCATTCTCGTTAGCAATTCCGTTGATTGCATTTCCAAAAATATGATTCGTCTAGACAAGATTCGATTAATCGTATGCGATTATAAAACTATTTGTTGATATATGGTTGAATCGTGATCATACGGACGAGATCAGAAGAACGAATTACGCCAATAGAGTGATAAAGAATTAGATCAATCGAATGAATATGATCACTTCATAAACAATAACTGACATTTCTATACTTGAACGTTCAATTTCATTTTTCCGTTTATTTTCACTTCTATGAACTCAACATATGAAAATAAGAACTTACTTCAGAGTACAGATAAAAATTTGCGAAAATATGCGTACTGTGAGAGAGAATATTGATGAATATTTATGTTGCGCCCTTGCTGATATGTGCAGAGTTGAACTGGTGACANAACCGAACCAAACCTCGACAAATCCCATCATCCACTCACCATAATATTCGTTTAAAACGAAAAATTCGGTCAGTCTTCTCATAAACTAACTATTGTATCGAATGTAATCAAGTTCAAAGTTCCGAATAACCAAGCTATTTTATCGGATATAATCAACATACCATTGGTGTAATTAGTAAGTTCTGTCCAATTATGCACATACTCATCTGATAGACTCATTCGTTTAAATAGTATCGCTTCTATTTCCAGTCAGCCAACAAATGAGCGATTATTCGATTGTAGAAGATTAAGGTATTCAGATTTATTTGCGCGGTCAGATTCAAATATTGTCGATACGGAACGAATAGACGTGTGATGTCAAGTTGAAATGCAATATATGTATGAAGAAATAACGGTTTGAACGAGATCACGAAGAATTGGTTGAAGAGCTGAGTAAAACTCTATCGAGCCTTTCGGTATCTACACATACAACTACTGACATAAAGTTCGCAGATGTTATCAGAACTTCACAAAGATGATAAATTTGCGAGTATTCAAGTTTAATATCACAAACAAACTTTTTAAACCATACGATGAACAAACTTTAAACCATTACATCAGCACATAGCTCACAATGAAGTATGCACAAAACGAGAAAATGTGAACAGAGAGAATCAATTAATGAATAAATGATAATTGATGTGCACAGCACAAAACAACTGGTAAGTTTTTATGGATATATCCTCAGCGATCTATGGTCATGCTTTTACAAAACGAACTTGTTTTTGCATTGATCGTGAGTAATCACATGAAACCGTTCGCTGCTCTCAACTCAACAATTGATGATCCCATCGTATACTTAACTCAAGCAAGCGATCTTTCTCACAATAATTTCCATTGCTCAGAAAAATTTTCTTCTTCATAATATCTTTAGAATTCGTTTCTTAATTATTCTCATTTGAATTCGTATCAATGCAACTGCATCAAAACTTATCTCCCACCTACGTCGGCNAACGAGAAAAAGCGGAATAGTATCAATTTCGAGATTTCTGTAATCACAATTTTCCCTTATAGTTTCGTATTTCTTCGAAGTTTGTCCTGTGGGAATATGTGTAGAACGACTTCATAATAATTAGTGGATACATTTTTTATAATAATATAATTACATGACTGATATGTAAAACGAGTTATCATTAAAGTTAATGATTCAAAATTGATCATAAAAAGAATGTAGAATTTCGAAACCAATTATTATCACTTTTGCGTTTAAGAGAAATTAAATGAAGACAAAAAAGTTCATCCACAGTCTCAGATTTCTTTCGCTATTAAACATGCGCATGTTGCTTGCACCACAAGCGAAATAACAAATCCTTTCATATTTAATTTCACTTTAATGAATATTACATTTGAAATGTTACAAAGAAATACGCATTGTCAGAATTGATCCAAGCAAAATTTCTAAGCGAGCAACAAAAACGAATCAGAATTTTCCTTTCGAGCGGTTAAATGCTTTGAAACAAGTCCACAGGAACAACATTTCCGAAGAGAATACACTTCATTTAACGACCAATTTGTTTAAATTGAATAATTTGCTGAAGCACCCTATTAAGCTTAACTATTTTATCGATTGACAGCAACTAATGATCTGGTAAATTGAGTTCAAATTCTCAAATTGCGATTAACAAAACACTGCTGAATGAGAGCCGCTTTGATATAGGTAATCATTGACAGAGGGTACCTTAAGCAATCAAAACATTCGGAAAATTTCCGAAAACTTGCTCACGTACAATAAATGAAACGTACCCAAATCATCCATTGTTAAGTTCAAGATTCGTTCAGATGTACAACTCTCAATTCAACACCTTTCTGACAGTTGACGCTAAGGCCATCAAAACGTTAACCACATTCAGCATTCCCCGTTATATCCTGCAAATCAATTCAAATTTTTCGTCAGGATTTCACTTTTTCGAAGATTAAAATGAATTCAGTCTTCAGTGCTCAATTTTGATGTACACCTTGTTTCTTTCAGGTGATTCCAAAACCATGATTTAGTATTAGACAGAAAGCGATCAGTGTGAGGCTATAGAGATGAAACGGCGTACAGTCAAATCAACCTGGAAAATAGGATAACTAATTCAAAGTTACTCAGATGTTAGGTAAAACCAAACCACAAAAAGAGGAAACAGGAAGCTGGTGATGCAAAAACTTTAACAAAAAGACTGCTTTAGCAGATTTGAATCGAGACAGTGTCTGTACGATTCAGTGGTCGTTATCTCCGAAGCATTAGTAACGAGCAACTGCTCCGCTTTTCGAATTACTTTTCCACTCAAACAATTTCAATTTTCGTTGGTACAACAACAAATAAACCAGTTGGGGAAATTTTAAAAGTGATGCGGTGCATGCATGGCTTTCAGAAATTGTTTCCAACTGATACATTTCCTGACGAACAATTTTCTGCTTCATTTAAACATATCCGCAAAATGCATTTGCTCGTAAATCACAACATTAAAACAGTTATTCAGAGCCGGTCGGCCTTTACTGATCGTAAATTGAATGGAATCAATTTTGCAATTTCAAAACAGCAATAACGACGAAACAACAACAACGACAGCACTGAATGCAAAAGTAGCTCTTTGAATCGAATTAAATGTAAGTGTTTTTTGGAAACAAC